GAGAGACAGAGAGACAGAGAGACAGAGAGACAGAGAGACAGAGAGACAGAGAGAGAGACAGAGAGACAGAGAGACAGAGAGACAGAGAGACAGAGAGAGAGAGAGAGTGTGTGTGTGTCGTCTCCCAATAACACTGATCTCTTTCTGTAAGGAAATAGAAAGTGAGTGCGTCTGTGTGGGTTCCCTCCACGTTGACAGAAGTGTGTTTGTGTGTGAGTTCATTAGGCGTGACTGTGTCCTCCCCCCAACCCGCCMCACCACCCAGCAGCACCTAGCGGGCAGATGRGAGCGAGCGCGCYCGCTCAGTMYAGCAACGATCSAAAAARAAAACAYGAAGTAGACWAACCGGGTGGGGAGCCAATGAGAGCCAGGTGCTGCGGTGATGTCATCTCATCAGCTGATCAATAGCAGTTCACTTTCTATTAACATCCTCTCAAAATCTTTTTTTTTATTTAAACTTCTCCTCCAGCACTGGGTTTTTATAAGAACTGGTAATGACTGAGCAACATGTCAGCTGTATTATTAGGAATAATAGCCAAAAACCATGGTCTCCATAGCAACAACAATCACATTTTTACGAGCACAGCAAACCTATTTGACAAAGACAACCAGCTTAMTTGCATTTATGTTTATTAGATAGTTAAAGCGTTCTTTCTGTCCCTCCAACTCCACAATAAAATATCTTGAAAATGAGATCATTTAATCCTTTTTAACAACAAATTTTACTTCAAGTTAAACAGGAAATAACATCAATCTGTCCTTTGAGCTCAATCTTWACAGAAAACTTGATGATGGATGAGTCTATATTGATCAGATACATATGCTTGTTCACAAGGCTACAACTGTAAATTATTTAGTGTTGCCCAGCTTTCATCAGACGGCTGAGAATCTGTGGTGTTTGTGTCCTGGTGTAAACGATAACATGCACTGAGGTTGTTTTTTTTTAAAGTGACACACAGTGACAAATAGTTAAAAAGGTCTTCTGTCTCTTACCGTAATGTTTGAGGATGCCCTGAGGAGTGACCACCTTACTGCAGACATGGCAGACGACGAGACAAAAATCCTCCAGTGCCGGGAAGGTGCTGCGGACGGGCATCTCTGGAAGACACAAGAGTCCGCGCTGGGTTTAAATCAAGAAGAATGCAGAATTGTTGTTTTCAGATTATTATTAGTTTGGCACTGGAACACAGATCTGCATCTCCACCTGCCACAAAACAGGTTGGAAAGCTCCGACATTGCAAACACAACACCTTTCTTTAAAATMATATACCTTTTATTATCAATTTAATCACTTAAACATATTAATAACAAAGCCACTTCTTAACTAATGTATATGAGGAAACAAGTTCTCCACTCAATTTAAAGAGGTAATTAAATGCTGGCAACATAACCTGCAAAAACATTGATCATTTGTTTTCACTGGATGAACACTACATATATACATCATGTGGGATTTAGGAACACAAACAAGGTTTGATTTAGTTTTGRTTATTCAGCTGTGTTCCAAAGCAGTTTCAGAGCTGGTAATCTAAACCGTATGCTCTTTTTCTCAAATAAATCAGCTACCAAAATAAAAAAAACTTGCATTTTTATTTCAGAAGGATTAATACAATTATTTACAATCAATTATTATAAACACYTTGCTGAACAGTCGAGCCGACAGGAGTTTATCTCACAGTCACCAGGAAAACCACCAATTTACCACAGATACATGACTGATATCTGTGTTAAAATACGGGAGGAAAAAGGCCAAACAGTTAAATCCTCTCTCACTAGAGCCCACTRGACAAAAATACAAGATTACATTAAATGTTGAAGAAAAAACAAGCGTGTCCACTGGAAAGCAGCTATTATCTCAGCTGGCTAAGCTCTGAGAACCTAATCTTCCTGAACCTAAACAAGCCCTGCTGACAGAAATCACAGCACTTATTAGCACAGGGCTTAAGCCAGACAGAATGAGGAGAGCTGAGATGTGTGTGTTCAAGTAAGCATATATATATAAATAAATAAGACTGGATATTGAAGAGTGTGTGGGTGTCTGACTGCATGTTATGACCTTACATTGCTGCCATCCTGACAGTCCTGCTTAGTGCCTGTCTGAAGAGACAGCTCAGACTGTGGTACGGGCTGCTGGTCACGTGTGTGAGGCTCAACACGAACTTCAGAAGTGTGCGACTGATAGCATCAGTGTGTGTTTGCATACAGTAAAAGGTCAGAGCTGGTTTCCTCACATTAACTTTTAAAGCGTGTGCAAGAACTGAGGTTAAGCCATGTTGCGCAGCTGTAGCCATCTTCCTGTTGCGTTTAACCGGCAGCCAAAACTTTTCAAGTACTCTGATGTTAAAGCAAYGTAATAAAACTGATAATACGACAAGGTTGAACTTTCCTCAAGCTTAGCGTGCTAAGCCTCGGTTTTCCATGACTGCATGTGAAAAGAACTGAAAATTGGCCCTGTTCCGACAACRCTGCCATTTCGGTTCAAGCACCATGGACGAGTCGGACTGAACAGAGCAGAAAATGACAAAAATAGGCTGCACTTTTCTGACTTTTATCACAGCGGTTACATTCCGAAGAACACACGCACACTTCAGCACACCTCAAAAATCCCATATCTCAGGTAATACACAGAGAAAAACAGACTGGACATACACAGTACATGCTGCTGAAATATTAAATAAATCACTGCTTTTGCTCTTTAAGAATACGACTTTTTACGATTTCACTGTAAGATTTAAGAGTCGACTACAACTTCATATAATTAAGCCATCTGAAAATCAGGATAAACTGCTAAGCAAATCATTTTAAAATCTCAAAGTAACGTTGACTACCTCTAGACAAATAAAGTTTTTCTGATCAACTCCTGGCTCTGACTTAATGGAAGATAATTTAATCTGATATTTGTCTTGTGTTTTCCCCTCTTATAAGAACAAATTTTAATTTGACTTTATTAGGATTTTAAATACTTTTCCATTTACATAATATAGGTATCATTGTCCTTACATCACAGCAAACTCTTTCAWGAGCCACTGGACAGATTTCAATTAAACTCTCAGAAATTATTCATTTATCAAATTAATCTTAATCTACAACCACTTATTTATTGAAGTCAACACTACACTGTCTATTTATCAACAGTCATGAAAGAATATTTGACTTAAAAAAAAGAACAATTTCCTCTGCATTTGCCAAATCAATTGCAAACTTAGTGTTTATTTCCTGCCTGATCTGTGTATGCGCCTCTCAAGCCAARGACTGCAGTCTGCCAAATAACCAACGGGCCTGAAAATGATCCACAAAAACAATCAGTAACTGGTGAATAAGCATGTTTGGAGCTACACAAACAATCCATCACTGAATAAGTCAGGGTTTTTTTAAGAGTCAAATAGTGTTTGAAGAGCACACAGTAAAAGGAAAAAGTCAGAATGTGTTTCTCTGAAAAAAAATTAATAAATGTCAACCTATGGCATTTTTGTTTCAGTAAGATCAAACACGTCCAGAATGAAATGAAAGCTTGAGCTGCAGCTTCAGCCTAAGTTGTATTTTGAACAGACAAATCAGATAATTGTTGGTCCGGCACCAAAATGTCTGGTAAACACGCTGACTAGCAGTTGGCAGACAGCTAATGCTGCTGAGTCCAACCCACCAACACAGGAACACAAAATTCTATTCTGGTTTTCACAAAATGTTCAAACACTTGATTAAATTTGTGCGGCTTAAGATTATATGGTTTAACTTTTAACAAGAGGAAGGAGTTGAACCATTAAAACATAATACAACACATATATACAAACTTATCCCTGTATCACACACATAATAAACACAAACTAAAATAAATAGAGGGAAAATCCYGGTTTAATTGCTTCTTTGTTGTTACAAGTTACCATCATTTTATAATATGACTGGATTTGCAGTAAACGGGTTTTATATTAAATAAGTTTGWTAAAGCTTTTGCCAACAGTTTTAATAACTGTATCCTTAATCGCAGTTTAACAGAGTTTAGCTTTATAGCATCTGCTCTTTTTAACTTTAACATTTTTTTATTCATCAACAAATTTCAGCAAAGTCACCCAGACTTAGAATTCATGCTGTGTTTCCACAGAAAATGCTTTTTCTCTTGTTAAATATTAATTCACCTCAGCTTGTAATTTAGCATTTGTGTTGTAAATGTTATCGGGTTTTCATTTACCTCATGAAATTTGTACAGAGTCCAAAACAAACAAAATAAAAACTGCATGTGTTGTACTAATGAGCTCTAAAGCTGTCAGAATAATGAGTAATATCAGCTTTAATCATTTAAATAATCTGTAACTAACTTGTATGTACATCCACTGATAAACTTCAACAATTAATCCATTAATTAGATATTATAATAGCAGACACACACACACACACAAACACATATATATATATACAGGCTAAAACATTATCCTCCTCCTTTTGGCAACAGGTAATAAAGATGAATGTAAACACAAATAGCAACATTACAACACTTTCTATTTGGAGTGAAATGATAAACGTGGCTGGCAGAGCTATCAGACAGTCTCTGCTGGTTGTCGTCATCTCTACTGCGTGTAAGAGGGAGGCAGATACAGACACCATTAATGACCTGCAGCAAACATCAATCCCTGCCAAACCAGCCACATCCAGCATCTATTAATACTGTAGGTGAGTGTGCTGAGGAATTCAATTACACCTCATCCAAATAACCTGCGTTCTGCTGGTTACAGGCTTATAAACTAGAGAAACGTTTTCTGAAAATGAAACGCAGCGTGAATGCTGAACTCTGCTGCAAAAGCTGAAATGGAAACATTAATAAAAACAAACAGAACAGACGTTAAAACTAACAAAAAACAGCTAAAGACAGAAAAACCATAATGCTTGAAAAAAGCAAAACTGCAGCTTAAAGTACAATTTGTATACGATGGGTAAAAGTTTAAATTAGCAAAACCTAAAGGCTAATACTGACAAAACCATAACTGTATAAGCAAATTATTAGCTACAAGCTAAAATGATTTAAAAAAACACCCCTTAAAAAAAAAAAGAAAAAAATTGTGTAGGTCTTCTGGACGGGTTCTTCTCTAATGAAACGTTTCGTCTCTCCTCCAAGAGACTTCTTCAGTCTGAGAGTTTCAGGCAAAATTCAGGCTTTTAAGCCCTGCCTCCTTGTGACTGATACTCACATCACATGGCATTAAACAGAGGTGGAGGCCTCCGTTTTCAGCTGTCCCCCTCCTACAGTGCTGCTATTGCCAGTATCACTCCACCCCGTTAACAATAGGTGTTAATTAGGTGTCAACGATAGCCATGTGAAGTGAGTATCAGTCACATGGAGGCAGTGCTTAAAAGCCTGAATTTTGCCTGAAACTCTCAGACTGAAGAAGTCTCTTGGAGGAGAGACGAAACGTTTCATTAGAGAAGAACCCGTCCAGAAGACCTATACAATTTTTTTCTTTTGGATTTTTTACCTGGGTTACTGAGATGCATCAGGACACCCCTTAAAAAGGTTACAATCGCAAAACAATAGCTAAAAGCTTAAATTAGCAAAATTGTAATTTCAGGCTAAAATGTACAAAACCTAGCTAGATGCTAAAATTAGTAAAACCATAGCTTAAAAGACTACATTAGAAAAAAAACATAGCTATTAACCTAAATTAGAAAAGAAAACATTGCTAAAGACTTAAATTAGCAACACTGTAGCAAAAAGCTTAAATTAGCAAACTGTAACTACAAATATAAATGAGCAAAATCTAGCTAGAAGCTAAAATCATAAATGCCATAGCTAAAAGCTTAAATTAGAAAAAAAAATGCAAATCAGCAAAACAATAGCTAAAAGCTTAAATTAGCAGAACTGTAATTACAAGTTTAAAGGAGAAAAATCTAGCTAGATGCTAAAATTAGCAAAACCAGAGTTAAAAGCATAATTTAAAACAATTAATTGCTAAAGGCTTCAGCAAAGCTGTAGCTAAAAGCTACATAGCAAAATAGCTAAAATCTTAAAGCAAATAAATTGTATCCAAATGCTTCAACTAGCTTAACCGTAAGCTTAAATTAGCAAAACTCAGGTAAACCTAAAATCAGAAATTGTAGCTAAAGGCCTAAATTAGGAAACTGCCGCTGCAATCTTGAATTAGCCAATCTATAGCTGACTAAACTTGCTAAACCGCACCTAAAATCCCTATAAAAACAACAAAATTAAAGTAAGTATGAAGGATATTTTTTGAAGGAACTGAAGCGATCTTGATCTATTTCGGAAGAAAAATTCAGAAAGGTCAAAGTATGTGGAAGTGGAGTGATTCCAAGACGCTGAGTCAGCATTCACACCATATAGCATTATATTATCGAGGCTTCTGAGTGTCTGTATATCAGTTTCAGCGAGCCTCAGTGTCATGTTGTCAACAGATCAGCAATTCTGGAAGCGCCGCTCACGCCCCGGCTCTGACAGACGAGGAGACGAGGCATGTGAGGGAGCGTGAGAAGGAGAGGGGGAGGCTGCCGTCTGACCAGTGACAGCGAGAAGAGTTTCCCCGGCTCGGGAGCGTGCGTCACTGTGTTCGCATGAGGGCTGCAAACGCTTTCAAACTCCCGAGTGGTGACTCAAGCGTAAGCTCCGGCGGGTATTTATACATGGCGAGGTGTTGATCTGCTGGGTCTGTCCCCACGGGAGGGGACTGGAGCGGAAAGGTACCAGCTCAGTGCTAGGAGGGAAACCCCTAAAGCTAATCTATGTGCCCACGTTAACATGAGCTAATGAATCACCGGCCGAAATGATCAAATATGCTAATATATCAAAATATGTTACGGTTCAGATACTGCTGCTGAACATGAAGTTAAGAAATGTTTCTTTCGAACAGAAAATCTGCTTTTTGTTCTGTCTTTTAAATAGGAGAGGTTTTGTTTTGGTGTTTCATCACAGGCTGTGTTTTAGAAATCAAAGAGCTTTTCAGGTATTTCAGRTCTGCTTTTAAATTAGAAGAAAAATAATCACATTTCTCTACATCAAGTAAGTAAAACCACATTTAGCGAAACAGGAATCTAAATACAAAAATATACTTAAATTGCGGTTGACCAAATCAGGCTTGATATTATATTATGCGAGTAAATGTGCCATCTCTGCTCATGAAAATCAACTCCAGACCCTGAGAAACCTATAATTCTCCACAACAAAACTGCTTATTATCAAATTGTACCTTCTTTGTTCGGTTTTTATGATTATAGCGCAAACACAACCTGATACATAAACCATATAAACAAAATTTTGGAAAGCTTTAAATGTTGACGTTGYGACAAGACAAATAGCCATTTTTTTAAACAAGTTAGGCTGACCTCTAATCGTTTAACTAATTAAGATGAGATAAACAAAGCAGATTTCTTTATATAGTATTTAATCTGTGAATGACGCTTTTATTTGTAAAGGTGGGTGTGTCTCTGTGTAAGCACGTCCGTTAGCAAAATATCTTATGAACCAGTGGATGGATTTTAATAAAACTCACAGGAAGTAATCATCCAGTGAGCATCTACAACTGATWCACTTTGGAAATTATCGCCTTTCAAAATGGCCGACACAGCCATATCACGTTAATAAACACCAGAATGGCTGTGAGCATGTCAATTTTAGATTTATTGTGATGGTAGCTGAGAGTCATTCCCAACACATAATCTGAGCGCGAGATCTCGCGATTTTGCACGAGAACGTGATAAAAGCAGCGGGCGATATGCATTCAGGACAACCACAACACCAAAGACAGCATCTATAAACCCAACTTGACCATAATTAAATATTATCACTACTTCAGTATTTACTGGCGTGCATTRCAAAACGACGTAAAATTTGATCGACGAGTGTTATAATACAATATAATTACTGTAACATGCAAATACAACGTTGTTTTCCCTTCGAAAATTGTATCAATAATCATACTGATGATCAATAAATAGGTAAGTATTAAATGTGCAGAGTATAAGTATTGTTTTTATAGTGTTAAAACGGGACCGTAAGAGCCGCTGTGCCTGTGCAGCAAAACAACAACAAACCATCACCAACCGTGTGCTACGTGACAGCGCTGGTACAAGTTCCTTACCTTCTTTACCGAGCTGCACGGCTTCAGCGGGGCAGCAGAGCGCTTTGTCGCCGTTCTCCAAAGACGAAACAGCGTCTGAGAGAACAAAATATCCGCTTACAAACACACAGGAGCAAAAACAACAAACTTTGGTGGGGCCACGCGTGGAGCCCTGCTGGCTCTGCTTGTAAATATGTGTCGCGTTAGCATTAGCATTGCTAGCCCTCCCTAAAGCAAGTGGAGCTGTCAAAGCTAACAAACTTACAGCTGGACAGTTGAGCGTATCGTGACTGAACGCGTCGGAGGCTGAAAACTGTGCACTGAAACCGCTTAGCTAGCTTCGCTCCCCCTCCTCCTCCTCCCGCACGTGCACGGCTGCTAAAGCTACGAACACTGCGTTTTTACCTCGTAATGCTTTTATTATTTTTTTCTTTTTTGACACTTTGCTTGCGCTTTGAAAAAGCCCTGCGTGGTGGAGGAGCTTACCCAACTCAATCACAGACAGTTTTGGAGACCACGCACACTCCCGACAGTTTGTCAGCATATAAAATAATAAACAAAACAAAACCAAAGAGCAAAACAAGAAACACAACCGAGGCGCGAACTTACTGTCAACAAAACGTAATTTAGCCGCGCTAACGAAGGAAGACCAAGGCTTGCAAAGGAAGGAATCCGGACTTGGTATTTGGCGATCCAGTGTCGCCATTGCTCTGCCTTCTTGTTGCTTTGCTGAGAGCAGTTTTTTCCTCTCTCGCTCTCTCTCTCCTCTCTTGCTCGCAGCAGGCGAAAAAAACCGAAAGAGCTAGATGAGGTGACGTCACTATCGGCAAGTTCCGCCTCGATTCGGCCTTTGTCGGCTTGAGCGGCTGAGCGACAGATACGGGGGGTTCAAAAGTTCACCGTGTGCCATACAGCCACAGCTGTGCAAAAATAACTAATAGTAAAAGTGACATTACAAAAATTAATAACTATATAGAAATGTAATTAAATAAATACACAAACATATTAACTGAGATTAAACCCCAAATTGTGCAACCATGGATTCAACTCCAAAAATATCTCATGAATCACTGGATAAAATTGTTAAAAGGTTCATAATTAATTACTGATTGTACATTTACAGCTGATTGCCTTTTGGAAGGTCGCCACAGCTGACCACCCGTAGAAAAACAAAAAGGTTAAAACTCGTCCGGTTGTGCCAATATTGCACTAAAATTTGGTGCGATTGTAGCTGAAAATTATTCACAAAATATTCTCTGAATGGGACATTTTATATAGCATGGCATCACACATAACCTTATTTTCTGTCATTATCTTTCCATCATAAATGATCTTAATCATTTAAAGTATATATGGAAAGCATTACATTTCCCTTAATTTTTAAAATGATTTATTTATTTATTTATTATTGTTGTAGCAGACCAAGGTTGCAGTGGTCTGCCAATCTATGGCTGCAACTCTTTTTAATATGTGTACAGATATGAACAATCCAGCTACCAGGATGTTTTTTTTTTCAGAGTTGCAGTAAAATAATTATAACTTCAATATAATACAATAACTACACAAATTATTTTAAAACCCCTCACAATTAGGCTGTTGCTGAAAACAAGATAGTTTAGGATGTCATGTCAACGCAGCAGGGGGAGTCGCCCTCTAGTGGCTGAAAATAAAAACTGTCCCAACGGACAGAGATGGTGGGGGAAAGGTTTATTTATCCATCCATCCATCTTCTTCAACCCAATTTTCTTTTCTGGGTCACTGGTGCCCATCTCCAGCAGTGACGGTGCGGGAGGCGGGCTACACCGTGAACAGGCCACAAGTCCATCACAGAGACAAACATTCACACCTAGAGACAATTTAAAGTTACCAATTAACTAACATGCATGTTTTAATGTGGGAACATCTTGCTGTGAAGCAACAGCTCTAAATAATGTGCCACAATGCTGCCTGGAAAAATGTTTGTTTATATATATATATATATATATAT